AATTGAGCATCTTGCAGTCCTGGAGGTCAGCCGCTGCATGCAGGTTTCACTGGGCTAAAATCAGGGTGTTGTAGAGATGGGCTCCTTTCTGAGGGTTCTAGGAGGAAAATCATTTCCTTACCTTTTCCAGCTTCTAGAGAAACATCCTTGAGATGACATTGGATCCACTCAGATAGTCAAGGATAATCTCCTTGTTTTTAGGTCTTTGGATTAGGAACCTAAATTTCATCTGCAGCTTGAACTCTCCTATGCCGTGTGACCTAATGCGTTCACAGGACACAGACGTCTTTGGGAGGCCACTGCTCTGCCTACGACAGGGTCAGACCATTGAATACAGTAGTCAGCGTGGAGCTGGGTGCCCTGTTGGTGGTCATTGAAGGCAGAGTCTGGGTCACAGGTTGCTGCTCGCCACCTGCAGAAGCAGCCATCCATCAGGACACCCTGAAAGAGTCATGTCTTAAAAACCACACTGAGCAGCAGTGTCTGGCTTGCTTTACATTCATGGTCCTGCATTTGCCACTCACTCCATCTCTGGGAGAGATGGTATCATTTCATTATTCATGGGGATACTGAGGCTCGGGTTGGGTCATAGCAGGATCCCGGGGCTCTCGGTGGCAGGATTCCAGCCAAAGCCCTTGGTCCAAAAACTCTCTTCTCACAGAGCCCTTGTTAGCACCACTGACAGCAGGTGCTAGGGCCCTAGATATGCTGACTCTTCAGATCCATCGAGATAAGTCCACGGTCTAAAGCTGTACCCACCCCCTGCCCTAGCCTCTGAGACCAGAGAAAAAGGCAGGACTTACACTGGAAGCAAGGAAGGGAAAGAGAGCCCAAACTTAGCGAGGGTTTCGAATGGACAAATGCAACGCTGAGGACACAGAAATGGGCTCCGTGATCCCTAAAGGAGAGCTGGCTGCTGGGCTGCAGGCCACTCCTTCCCCAAATCCTCTGCCCGGCACTGGGGGTGAAGCAGCCCCCGAATCCAGCCACACCCCACCTTCCTGGAGCTCGCTGCTCAAGAGTCTGGAGGAGGCTGTCGATGAGCAGCTGGCTGGAGAGGAAGCAACCATGTGCTCACACTGTTCTCAGCTCCGCATATAAAATCAACCCGCGCGTGCCTCTGACTCCTAACGACCCTTTTTTTTTCCATTTAAGACAGGGAATACTTTATTCAAATCCATGAGAGAAGTGGATAGCTTGGGCCTGTAACAAAGTGTTGTGTTTTAAGGCATAGGTCAGTAATTGTGTATGAGAGGATATACTGATACATACAGATTAACTGATCAGACCACAACTTTTCAATGTTTGAAACAGGATAAGCTTCCCTGTAAAAGCAGCACCTTTGTGACATTTTAACTTTGGTGCTCCTCTCCTCCTTCCTCTCCTTCTCCTTCAACAGAACCTACACCCACCTCCTCATAATCCTTCTCAAGGGCAGCCATGTCCTCACAGGCCTCAGAAAACTCTCCTTCCTCCGTGCCCTCACCCACGTACCAGTGAACAAAGGCACGCTTGGCACACTTGTGGTCCAGGCGAGCCCAGGCCTCAGCAATGGCTGTGGTGTTGCTCAGCATGCACACAGCTCACTGTACTTTGGCCAGGTCTCCACCAGGTACCACGGTGGGAGGCTGGTAATTAATGCCAACTATGAAGCCAGTGGGGCACCAGTCCACAAACTGGATGATAACGCTTGGTCTTGATGGTGGCAATGGCAGCACTGACATCTTTGGGGACCACGTCACCACGGTACAACAGGCAGCAGGCCATGTGTTTACCATGGTGAGGGTCACTTTTCACTCTCTGGTTGGCTGGCTCAAAGCAAGTGGTGATCTCTGCTACAGAAAGCTGTTCATGGTAGGCTTTCTCAGCAGAGATGACAGGGGCATATGTGGCCAGAGGGAAGTGGATGAGAGGGTAGGGTACCAGGTTGGTTTGGAATTCTATTAGATCGACATTCAGGGCTCCATCAAACCTCAGGGAAGCAGTGGTTGAGGATACAATTTGACCTATCAGCCTATTCAGGTTTGTGTAGGTTGGGCGCTCAGTATCGAGGTTTCTACGACAGATGCCATAGATGACCTCGTTGTCTACCATGAAGGCACAATCAGAGTGCTCCAGGGTGGTGTGGGTGGTGAGGATGGAGCTGTAGGGCTCAACTACAGCTGTGGAAACCTGATGGTCTGGGTAAATGGAGAACTCCAGCTTGGACTTCTTGCCATAATCAACAGAGAGACGTTCCATCAGCAGGGAGGTCAACCCAGAACCAGTTCCCCCACCAAAGCTGTGGAAAACCAAGAAGCCCTGAAGACCTGTGCACTGGTCAGCCAGTTTCCGAATTTGGTCCACAACAAGGTCAATGATCTCCTTGCCAATGGTGTAGTGACCGCGGGCATAGTTACTGGCAGCATCTTCTTTGCCCGTGATGAGCTGCTCAGGGTGGAAGAGCTGGCGGTAGGTGCCAGTGCGAACTTCATCAATGACTGTAGGTTCCAGGTCGACAAACACTGCCCTGGGCAGATGGTTGCCAGCGCCTGTCTCACTGAAGGTGTTGAAGGAGTTGTCTTCTCCCCCAGAGGTCTTGTCACTTGGCATCAGGCCATCGGGCTGGATGCCGTGTTCCAGGCAGTAGAGCTTCCAGCAGGCATTACCGATCTGGGCACCAGCCTGGCCAACACGGATGGAGATGCACTCATGCAAAGTTGCTGTTTTGCAGCTGCCGAGCAGATGGCAGAGAGGAGGAGAGGTTGCTTCTTACAGAGCTACTCTTAAGCGGTTGATATAAGAGAATCTGCCCGTAACAACCCTTTGAAGTCGCACTGTTTTCATTTCCATTTGCAGATGAGACAGCCGAGGCACACAAAGGTGAAACAATTCGCCGAAAGTCCCCGCACGGAGTGTGTGGCTTTGAACTCAGGCAGTTTAGTTCGGGAACCCATGCTCCTCACCACCAACACGTATACCAAGGACCCAGGTGGTGGGAAAACCAGGAGACAAGCTAAGCAGGGATCGGGAGCCCCGTGCCCTGGGCTTTTTAGGCAGGAAACTGCTCTGTATGGTGGCACCTGAAGGGAGTGGGCAGGGAGGGGGAGCCATGGCACAGAGGGAAAGAAGGTTCCAGAGAAATGGAGCAGCAAGGTCAAGACGAGGTGGGAGTGTGCCCAGCATTTCCCAGGAACAAGAAGGTGGCCACGGGAGGCGGGTCAGGGAGGGGCCTTCTGAGAGGCGCGGAGGGCCGGGTGTTAGTGAGTGGGCCGTCTCTGGGACTTGGCTGTGAAATCCACAGTTTCTAAGATGCATTTTCTTCTCTGAATGTGGTGAGACAGGGGATTCCGAGAAACTCAAATACAAGAGCAAAACTGCAGGTCCCCTCTCCCCACCTAGGTAAAACGAAAGCTGAAGAAAGTGAAAGACTCATCTGGAGACTCCAATTCTTACCAAGAAGTCTTTCTTCGGGTACACGTGTCGTTTGGGGGTGGAAGCCTTTCCTTCATCACTGGCCCCTTGGTGCGCCCTTTCTCACCTGAATGTCTAGACTGGGGCGAGGGTGAAGGCAGAGGGAACTCCCGCTGGCTCCTCCCCGGAGATGGGGAGGGGGCACTATGGCAGGCAGAATAATGGTCCCCAAAGATGTCCACGTCCTAATCCCCAGAACCTGTAACCGTGTTACCTTACGTGGCAAAAGGGATCTTGTCATGGGGAGATACGGTTCCATGCCCCGTATAATGACAAATGTCCTTGGAAGATGGAAGAGGGAGGCAGAAGCATGAGCACTCTGCCCAGCATTGATGGAGGAGGAGACTGCGAGGCAAAGAATGTGGGCGGCTTCTAAGGAAGGAAAAAGACAAGGCCCCAGTTCTCCCTTAGGGCTTCCAGGAGGAACAGAACCCTGCTGAGACCTTGACAATTGGCCCAGTGAGACCTGTTTCAAACTTCTGACCTCTAGAACTGTAAGAGCATAAATCTGGGTTAAGACACTCCATTGGTGGTAATTTATTTCCGCATCAGTAGGAAACCATTAGACAGTAGAAGGAGGGCTCTGAGATGCTTTGATGGGTGCTTACCCCTGGGGCCCTGCACAGCCCCTTCTGGAAGCAGATCTTTATCTCTTGGCTCAGTTTTGGGATCTGCTGGGTCATGACAGCCACGGTGTGTGGAATGGGCCTGCCCCGGAGACCAGCCTCCTGCCACCCTGTCTGTCTGCCTTTGACCTGGCTTCCACAAGGCCTGGTGTGAATGAGCAGGAGTGTCAAGTTAGCTGGTTGAATTAAGATCTGGAATGAAGGTCAGCCCCAGGTGGGAGCTGTGAAGACCATGGGTGTTGTGTAAACGAACAAGTACAGCTAATGCCTCCTTCAGAAGAGGGGCAGCAGGCCGGGCCGTCGGCCGGTGTACGCACCCTTCTTTAAGACTGGATGCACTTACTGAAAATGTGTGGTTTGGATTTCCTGCTTTGAATTCTGGAACAGCATGTTTTTCAAACTTACCTTTCCACCTCTGGGTGTTTCTCATTAATCTTTTAATCTCACAGAAAGTCTTATCATTACCCTCTGTTTTCTTACAAGAGGAAAGGCTTCTGTGCTTGCAGCCTCTAGCCCAATCCTGTAAACCAGCACCTGCTTGGGGCGGTTGAGATTGTGTCTTCCAGGTCACCCCGGGGAGGGAGATGCTGATTTTGGTGATGGTTCCCTGGGGAGTGTGTTATTTTGTCGTTAGTAGTTCTCAGACTTCAGAGTGCCTAAGAATCACCTGGGAAGCGGCTTGAACTTGCAGATTTCCTGGTGGGAGGTGGGGCCTGGGACTCTGCATTTTAACTAGCACCTCAGTGATGGTGATGCTGGGGTCCTTGAGAAGCGTGGCAACTCTGATGAAGCCCAGAAGATAAGTCCTGACCCTCCCAGATGCTTCTGGGCTTGGCACGCCTGGCTCAGTGTGTGTGTGTGTGTGTGTGTGTGTGTGTGTCTGTGTGTGTGTAGGATTACCCATGAACTCCCTTGGTACTAAGCCTGGGGTAATGCATGTCCGTTGTCCACCAATTTAATCCTCCCTCAACCTTCTGCAGCGTTCTGTTACTTAGGTGTATTCCTAAAGAGGAAACTGAGACCCAGTCTATTAAATTACCTGCACTTACTAAAGGTAGGCCAGGTGTTCTGGTTCCGCCAGACTACATGCCCAGGACCCGTTCATAGGAGCTGGAGCCCGCAGCTGGAAAGGCAGCCTCATGCCTTTTTCCCACAGTCTGTGTCAGTGGTGCTGTCTTTAGTCAGAGGCTAAAGGGGTGGGGAGACGTGCCAGGGAGAAAGGGTAATTCCAAAAACCGAGGCAAATGAACAGTTTGGTAGAGTGCATTTGAATATTTTTGTAATTGATTTCTCTCCTCTTGACCCTCCCTTTCTCTCCCGCCTCTTCCCCCTGCCCTCATTCTCTGCCCCTTTCCAGACTCCCTTTCCCAGCTGCCTGCTCCTCGAAACCTGAAGGTCTACCTGTACAACACGCAGCAGGCTCTGAGCTGGGAGCCGGTGACCCTGAGCAATGACTTGAGACCGGTGGTCTACCAGGTGCAGCATCAGTAGTAAGCGACCTTTCTGTCCACCTCCTTCCTGGGTGTGGAGGTGGGGTGGGGGGTGGGTTGTTATGGGATCTGAGACCAACTGCTATGTCTTGCTTCTTGGCAGGATTGTAAGTAAATCCATGGGAAGCAGGTACTTCTCTGTATTTTTAAAATCTCCAAGGACAGAGATTTCACAACTTCCCACTCGTCTGAAGGCTGCGAGGATGCTGGCCATCAGAGAGCCCAGCTGTCTAAACACAGGGCTTCTTAGTTTGGTGCAAGTCGATTTTCTTATTGGTTTCAGGAAAAAGATTGTATAAAAGGGCTTCCTGTCCTTGAAAGGGCAGGAGGCATCTTTTAGCCTTCACCTTCTTCAGGTTTAAAAAAAAATTCTGGTTTAATTAGCCTTCTAGGCCACATCTGGCCTAATAGGGCTTTTATTCATTTAATGAACAACTAATTCTCAGTTTCTAAACTGGTGTTCCATTTTGCATTTTATTCTGGTCCCTTGTTCTGTCTCTCCCCTTTTCAAGCTTTTTTATAGTTGGCCATCAGTCAATTTGCAGTCTAGTCACATGTAGAAAGAAGAAAGGTAACGTCCAAGTCCTTGTGTACCTTGTTAAAGGTGTTAATTGTAGACTAAGTAAAAATAATTGGCTAAGTCATTTTCAGATTACTGAAGAAACAAAATTAAGAGACATGGGAATGCTCGGTACTTGTGAGAATGTGGCTGGTGGACACAGGGCTGGATCAAGGTCTATTATTAGCACAGCCCTCTAGGAAAATAATTCAACTATTTGTTTAGAGTCATGGGAATGTCCACATTAGTTTTACCCTAAGCAGATAATACAACCCCCCATCAGGAAATACAAAACTTAATTCATGGGGCTGTACCTCGCAATGTCTGTTCATGTCCATCAGTGGGAAGGTAGCAAATTGTGTCAAGTTAACTTGTGTTGAACCCTTAGGCAACCTCTAAAAAGGATAGTTATGTGTCATCTGACAGCAGTTGCAACTGTCTACAGTTTGGAATGTATCTGTGGTCAAGAACAGGTAGAGAATTTGGAAAAATCACAGGCAGGTAATTTGCTAGAGGAGTACATTTCCAGACGACTTCTCTTTCACCTTTCAGTGTCCATTGTAACAATATTTGTGTAGTAAGCATAGATTCTAAATTGGGATTTGAGGCCCATCTCTGAATCACATTTAGCTATTTCTTCAGTGATCATAAATTACCAACATGATCATCTATAATCAATGGACCAGTCCACGAGAACCAGCTACATAATTTGTGGGGGCCAGTGCAAAACGAAAATGCGGGGCCCCTTGTTCAAAAAGTGTTGGGGATTTCAGGATGGCAGCAGCAGAGCTTCAGATCAGCTGCTCTCTCCTAGGAGTACTGCTTTTGTACTGCACAGGTCACATGCCCGTGAAGCTTGTCCTACTCGGCATTTAGTAAATATGGTCTCCTGGAACTAAACAAGATTTCAGTATGAGGAAGTCATGGCTGATTTATTGACGAGCATCCCTTAGCCTTGGCCAGGGAAATACATTTGTGGGTTGACCAAGTACCTCTAAATATTAGAAATATTTGCTAAAAGCCTTTGACAGTTGCACATCACAGACCAACTTCACTTTGTTTTCTACTTGGAAAGCACTCTGTGGACAATTTTTCAGGATAGAAGTTGGTTTTAGTAAAAAGAAACAAAGAGATGGGTTGAATGTGAGTGTCCCTGTTTGCAAAAGCTGAAGGTGTCCCTGAAAACTCAAACCAGGGCTGATTTTGTTTTTTCCAATTGCAGATTTGATCAAAGAGGGCCTTTGCTTTTTGTTTATTTGTTTTTAGATACATTTTACATGTTTAGGACATCTTAGTTGCAGTGAAGAATTTAATTTTGAGGCTCATGAGACTTAAAACTTTCCCTCCTGTTTCTGTCCAGTAAAGCATTGCTATAATCATAAATGAATGTGCCTCTGTATTTTGATAGCCACAACAGCAAAGCCAAAAGTATGCACAGCACTTTGTGGGAAAATTTAAAGTTTAAATCAGAGGTTGCAGTTACTGTGGCCTACAGGCTGTGTTTGGCCCACAGTGTTTAAACTTTTTTTCCCCCAATTCATGCCAACATCTTAAAATCTGGAGATTTCACTTAAAGAGAAAAGGACCCAGTTTCGGGTTTTTCTTGAAAACAAAGACAAGCAGACAGCGGGACTTTTTCTTGGTCACACCCTACTTGGGCTGCTGCCAGGCAAAGACCTGCCCAGCCACTGTCTTCTCGGAGTATTTTTTTTTAATTTCATTTTTTTCTAATTTTAATAGCAATACATGTTCTTTATAGAAAATCTGGAAAACCCAAAAAAGTAAAAAGAATAAAATGTAACCAACCTGGTGTCCAAGAAAAATCACTATTCATTTCAGTGTGTTTCTCTGTAGACTTTTTTTCTAAACGCATGTACTTGTTTGCAGATGTGCCAGTGTGTGTATGAGACTAAAACAAAACCCAGATGACTCTTCTGGGCCTGCTTCCTCTTTTTTTTTTTCCCTTTAACTTGATGTAGTTAAGTGTGTGACTTTTTTTTATGTGATTCTTTCTGTGTGAACATTTTTATCCCATGTTTTGTTATGTGATGTATCAGACGTGATTTTTGTAACTTTTCCCCACTCATGGGTGGTGTAGATAGTTGACAGTTTGTGACTGTTGGAAGTAATGTCCTTGAACATAAATCAGCCCCGATTGTTTTCTTACATTTCTGGAAGATGGCTTGCTGGGTTCAGCAGGGACAAACTTACTTAATCATTTTTGGAAGTGATGTAACAGAGGCAGGGCAGCAGCCCCGGAGTTCAGCAAATATTTACTTGGTGCTTCCTAGGTCCCAGGCCCTGGCCTAGGCACTTTCCTGGTGTCCCCTGGTTCAACCTTCACGACAAACAGACTCAGATGCCATCGTTTATCCCCATTTTATGGATAAGGAGACTGAGGAACAGAGAACCCCTGTGGTCTGGCTCCAGAGTCCTTGTGTTTAATCACTATGCTCCCTCTTGTGATGAGGTTGCTTTCAAAATTAGATAAATTCAGGGACAGAGGCAGTCCCTATGAGTCCATTGCTGGGAGCCAGGACCACCTGCTGAGTGAAGCTCAGGCGGGCTGATTTGACTTACGCAGGGCAAGAGGCTGGGGTCTGCGGATGGGCATGTGAGGCTGTGTCCGTGTCATTATTCACCTAAGGGGCCCACAGCACCTTATTTTCACCCTTTGCAAATTGATTGGAGGCAGCATTCCAGAATGCCACTTCCCCGCAAACTGCTGACCTGCATGTGCCAGCTGTCGTTTAAATTTGGATGGCTTGTGCCCTTTTAAACCCTGTTTTTGAGAAACAGTTTTAAGAAGTGGTTCTGAGAAAGGGGCAGGTTTGGAGGAGAGGGGAGGAGGCAGAACACGGGTGGTGAGTTCCCTGGCGAATCAGGGAGGGGGCCCTTTGCCCCGGTTCAACAGCTGGGATCGGCTGGGAGGAGGTTAGAGTGCCTTTAAGTATCTGTATAACTTAAAAAAAATCACCTTCTCCCTTCTGAGGCACACCCCCCAGTCTGAGGAGGGGTGCCTGCGTTGGGGTCCCTCTCCCCGTTAAGGTCTGTGAGCCCAGGGCGTGGTGGTGCGCTGGTAGGACAGGCACCTCCTGTGGAAGCCCTGGACACATCTTGATGGCTTTCATCTTGTCAGTCACTGCTTTAATAGAAGGTAAGCCTCCAGTCAAGGTCAGAGGTACACTTAGAAGTCCATGTGGTGTGTGAAAGCCAGTGGCCGTGACCCGAGCCTCATCTAACTTCTGTCTCCCCTGGCCTGCTTTCTAGGCCAGAGTTGCTGTCCAGAACATGGCCTGTCCCTAGAGGGGACACTGCGTGCTGCTCCCCACTGAGGTGTCTAGAGCCACCTCCCTGCCTTTTCTCAAGTCTGTCACCTAAGGACAGAGCTCCGAGTTGGGGGTTAGAACGCCATGCGGGAATGAGGTGCTGGGACTCTGGGGAGTACATTCTCACTTACAAGGATGCTTGGCCTTATATTTGGCAGGGTCTTCCTGTGGGCAACCCTTTCTTTAAATGAGCGGCTTTGGGGTAACAACAAACCCTGCTTCCAGCTAGAGTGTGGTTTGTATTAACACAGTCTAAGACGTAGGCTGCAGCGGCCGAGTTTGGAGCGTGCAGATCAGTTGTAGGACAGAATGGGAGGAAATACTTGCCAGCTATAGATCTGGTGAGGGACTTGTATCCAGAATATACAAAGGTGGGGAGGGGATAGCTCAAGCGGTAGAGCACATGCTTAGCATGCACAAGGTCCTGGGTTCAGTCCCCAGTACCTCCTCTAAAACTAAACCTGATTACCTCCCCTGCAAAAAAAAAAAAAATTTATACAGAATATATAAAGAACTCTTACAACTCAACAATTAAAAGACACATAACCCAGTAAAAATATAGACAAAGGATTTGGGTAGACATTTCTCCAAAGAAAGTATTCAGATAGCTAATAAGTATATGAAACACACTCAACATCATTAGTTATCAGGAAAAATATAGCCACTAGGATGGCTCTAATAAAAAGGCATAATAACAAGTGTTGGGGAGGATATGGAGAAACTGGAACCCTCATACATTGTGGATGGGAATGTAAAATGGTGCAACTGCTTTGGAAAATAGTGAAAAACAGAGTTACCATTTGACCCAGCAATTCCACTCCTAGATATAGACCCTAGAAAACTGAAAACACATGTTCACACAAAAACTTTCATGTGGATATTCTTAGCATTATTCACCAGAGCCAAAAAGTGGAGACAGCCCACATGTTCATCAACAGATGAATGAATAAACAAAATGTGGTGTGTACGCACATGGGACATTATTTGGCCATAAAAAGGGATGCAGTGCTGACGTGCTACAATGTATCATGCTTGAAAACATACTGAGACAGGCTAAGTGAAAGGTGCTGATCACAGAAGGCCACATCGTTTACAATACCATCTGTATGAAATGTCCATAACAGGCAAATCCATAGAAACGGAAAGTAGATTAATGGAAGCGTAGGGCTTTGGGGGGTTGGGGGAAAATGGAGAGTGACTGCTAATAGGTATGGGGGTTCTTTTGGGAGTGATAAAAGTGTTCTAAAGTGGATTGTGGTGATGATTGCACAGCACTGAATATACTGAAATTGTACACTTTAAATGGGTGAATTTTATGGTATGTGAATTATATCTCAATTTTTAAAAATCCTTTTATCAGGGGAGGGATTAGCTCAGTGGTAGAGGGCACGCCTAGCATACACAAGATCCCGAGTTCAATCCCCAGTACCTCCATTAAAGATAAATTTTTTTAAAAAAAGAAAAGAAAACCTAATTACCACCCTCTCCAAAAAAAAGGGAAAAAAATCATTTCAAAAGCTCAGCTCTTGGCATACAATAGGCACATAAAAAATGCTTGCTATTGCTAATTAGCAGAAAAATGGAAATCAAAACAACAGTGAGGTACCACTTCACACCAGTCAGAATGGCCATCATTAAAAAGTCCACAGATGATAAATGCTGCAGAGGGTGTGGAGAAAAACAAACCCTCATATGCTGTTGGTGGGAAGGCAGTTTGGTGCAGCCATTATGGAAAACAGTATGGAGACTCCTTTAAAAACTAAAAATTGACTTACCATATGATCCAGCAATCCCACTCCTGGGCATATATCCAGAGGAAACTAATTTGAAAAGACACCTGCACCCCAGTGTTCACAGCAGCACTATTTACAATAGCCAAGACATGGAAACAACCTAAATGTCCATTGACTGATGACTGGATAAAGAAGTTGTAGTTTATTTATACAATGGAATACTACTCAGCCATAGAAAATAATGAAATAATGCCATTTGCAGCAACATAGATAGACCTGGAGATTGTCACACTAAGTGAAGTAAGCCAGGAAGAGAAAAATACCATGTTGCTATCACTTATATGTAGAATCTAAAAAAAAGACAAATGAACTTACTTACAAAACAGAAACAGACTCACAGATACAGAAAACAAACTTATCGTTACTGGTGGAGGGGAAGGGATAAATTGGGAGTTTGAGATTTGCAGGTACTAACGACTATATATAAAATAGATAAACAAGTTTATACTGTATAGCACAGGGAACTATATCAATATCTTGTAGTAACCTATGATGAAAAAGAATATGAAAAGGAATATATGTATATGTATGACTGAAACATTACACTGTACACCAGAAATTGACACAACCTTATAAACTGACGATACTTCAAGTAAAAAAGAAAAAAAAAACTCAGCTCTGGGGAAACTTCTTTACGATCGAAGTGAGAATTCTGTGAAACGAAATCCTTTTCTTCCTTTGCAGCAATCCCAGTAGTAACTGGTACGACGTCAACAAAGAAAACAGTAAGGTGGATTGTACAAACATCATTGTGCCAAAGTGTGTCTTTTCCACAAACAACCTCTCAGAGGGTTTCCCCCCGAGTTTCAACATCTCTTTACGTGTTCAAGCTAAGCTGGCAGGCCTCGTTTCTGATTGGGTGACGGCGCCTTGGTTCCAACACTATCGGAATGGTAAGAGAACTTGGGCATCAACTTCCTTTATCGTTTCCGGTTTTTTTCACTTTCCCCTGCACTCAGCAGTCTGACTCTGTGCACCTGACTCCTGCCTGTCACCCTGAATAACCAGCAAATAGGTGGGTATGATGGTCAAACTCAGGTACTAACTGCGATGGCTGGTGCTTGAGGAGGGTGACTTGCTAGACCAGAGGGTTGCCAAACCACAGCCTGTGGCCAAATGCAGCCCATCAACCTGTTTTTGTAGATAAAGTAGATAAAGTTTATCAGAAAAAAAGATGTCAACATATACAGTGGAATATTATTTGGCCATAAAAAAGAATAAAATAATTGCCATTTGCAGCAACATGGATGGACCTGGAGATTGCCATACTAAGTGAAGTCAGACAGGGAAAGACAAATATATCTATCACTTATATGTAGAATCTTAAAAAAAGTGATACAAATGAACTTATTTACAAAACAGAAGCAGACTCACAGACATAGGAAACAAACTTATGGTTACCAAAAGGGAAATGGAGGAGGGATAAATTAGGAGTTTGGGATTAACAGATACACATTACTATATAGGAAATAGATAAACAAGGACTTAATGGTATGGCACAGGGAACTATATTCAATAACTCATAATAATCTATAATGGAAAAGAATCTGAAAAAGAACATGTGTATATACATACATAGATACCTGAATGACTTTGCTGTACATCTGAAACTAACTTTGTAAATCAACTATACCTCAATTGAAAAAAAAGTTTTATCAGAACACAGTTTCCCCATCTCTTCATGTATTTCTTGTCTGTGGCCGCTTCCGTGCTACAGCAGATGAGTTGAGTAGTTGCAAAAAGGTCCTTCTGGCCTGTAGAGCCTACATTTACTTTGGCATTTTAATGAAAAAGTTTGCTAACTTCTGTGCTAGGGGGGTTACTAGGCTACTGGCTTCACTGATCACCCTTCCCTGGCACTAATTCTTTTATGTTCAAGACAGACTTTAATTCAGCCTTGAACAATGCCTGACGCATGGAAGATATTCAGTAAACACTTGTTGAATGATTGAATGAACACACGTGTGCTCCCAGATATTGGAAGGGGGCATAAGACTCACCTGATACTAGTTTATACATGTGTTTTCTCAGTGGCTCATTTTCCGCATGGCCAGCTGAGCCTCATGTTTCCTCAGTGTCTATGCAAACACAAAGTATGGAACGTCTTGGGACTCTGTTTCAAACTAAACAAAGGTGTAAGACAATTGAGGAAAGGTGATCACAGTCTAGATATTTTATATGTTAAGCAATTGTTGTTTGTTTATTTTAGGTGTTACAGTGGTATTTTGTTTACTTTTTTTAAAAGGAGAGATCAGATCTTTTCAAGATACGTACTGAAGTATTTACACGTTTACACATATTTGCAATGATGTCATGTCTGAGATTCGTTCAGAATAATCCAGAGGTGGGGAGGGGCAAGGGCAGGGTGGATGGGCATAGGAGAAACAAAACTGGCTGTGACTTGATGGTTGATTTAAAGTTGGGTGATGGGTGGGTATAGCTCAGTGCTAGAGCACATGCTCAGCATGCATGAGGTCCTGGGTTCAATCCCCAGTACCTCCATTAAAAATTTAAAAATAAATAAGATAAATAAACCTAATTATCTACCAAAAATAATAAAAAGTATAATAAAATTGGATGATGAGTCAGATATGGAGAACAAACTAGTGGTTACCAGTGGGGAGGGGGAGGAGCGATTCAGGCATGGGGGAATAAAAGCGCTTTTGTGGGATTATACAAAATCATATGTGTGAAACTTTAAAAAATTGCAAAGCACTATAGAATTGAAAGAATTTTTCATTCAATAAAAAATAAAGTTGGGTGATGAATCCATGACCTTTGATTACCATCTTCTCTGTACTTTCTACGTGTTTGAAATTTCTGTAATAAGAAGCTGAGAAAAAAAAATTGATGGTCTGTGCTGGTGATTTGGGGATGGGAAGAGGAGACGGTCCAGTCCCTGCCGGCTGGTCACCTACTGGGGACAGGTCATTTGTCTTGAGTAGAGAACCATCACGTGTCTGGGAATTCATAGGGAAAATACAGTAACTGTAGTAACAGAAGTAAGACCCGTGATGAAAGTCTCGGATCCAGCGTCAGCCAGCTGCTGCGCTCTGCCCTCCCGGGCTGGTTGGGCAGCAGTGTCCTCAGTTAGTTACTGGGGAGGGGATGTCATGCTCGGCTCCCTCACTGGTGAAGCTCGAGGCAGTGGTGTCCTCAGAGCCCATCACTGCCTTCACCACTCGTGGTGGAGCTGCGATGTGTAGGTCCTGTGAAGATGCTTTACTAAGGGCTGGAGAGGGGAGGGTGAGATGGTGGCTGGAGGGGGTCGGCGTTGGCATCACACAAACCTGGGATCACATCCCAATTCTGCCACTTACGGGCAGTGACTCTGGGCAAGTGACATCCCTTCTGGGCTTCAGTTCTCCCCTCCTCTCCTGGGACATGGTGATGACCTTGTGTAGTTGTTACACAGATCTGTGTGGACGTGCACGCAAAATCCACGTCTAGGTTTATAGGGATCGTTCGGTGTATGGAGGTTGCTCTCAGTGGGTCACCTGTGGCTCCTTCGAGCCTTCCTTCAGGACTGGAGAGAAGGCAGATGATGTCCGCCCTTGAGACACAGGCTCATTAGGTTGCAATCAGATTCCAGATCCGGGCCGCTCTTCAGAAAGGCGAGTCTTTCAGTGCTGACCTTTCAGCAGTTAAGTGATTAGTGGTCCAGGCTCCCACGCCCTCTCCCATGGGTAAGGCCCAGACAAGTCTAGAGAACACGTTCAGGGGAGGCCGGGCCCTGAGGTCAGTGTGCTTTCCCGAACTCTGGTCAGGGAGCTGTTGGAACGGAAGCGCGGGATGTGTGTGCCAGTGTCTGTGAGCAGGTTATTGGGGGTTTTTTTGACCATTTTTTTTTAAGTAGTCAGTTTACAATGTTGTGTCAATTTCTGGTGTACAGCATAGTCTCAGTCATACATGTACATACATATATTCATTTTCATATTATTTTTCATTATAGGTTGCTACAAGATATTGAATATAGTTCCCTGTGCTATACAGTATAAACTTGTTGTTTATCTATTTTATATATAGTAGTTAGTATCTGCAAATCTTGAACTCCCAATTTGTCCTTTCCCACCCTGTCCCCTCCAGTAACCATAAGTTTGTTTTCTATGTCTGTGAGTCTGTCTCTGTTTTGTAAATAAGCTCATTTGTGCTTTCTTTTTTAGATTCCACATATAAATGATATCATATGGTATTTTTCTTTCTCTTTCTAGCTTACTTTACAGTATGACAATCTCCAGATCCATCCATGTTGCTGCAAATGGCATTATTTTATTCTTTTTTATGGCTGAGTAGTATTTCATTATATACATATACCACAACTTCTTTATCCAGTCATCTGTCATTGGACATTTAGGTTGCTTCCATGTCTTGCTATTGTAAATAGTGCTTGTGAGCAGGTTTAATGAGAGCTTTTTGTTACTTGCAGCAAATCTGCTAACATCACTATAGCTCAGCTCTGTCTTTGTTTGAACTTAGTTCCTCCACCAGAACAAATGAGATCAGAGGGCATGAGTCCAAACCCTGTGGGGACCAGTTCCTTTCACACAGAGAGAAAGGTGACCAGACCACATGCCTAACCCTGCCCAACCTGGGAGAGCCCAAGCGAGAGTGCGGAAGCAAGAGAGAAATCCAGCCCCACTCTTGTGAATACATGACCGTTCACATCATCTGTGGGTGTAAGATGTGCAGAAACAGGCTTCTTAGAACTTGGAGGACACAGCTGTACTTTGATCTGAGTTCCTCTGGTTAATTACACAATTTAAATGCTTCCTTGATGCATGCTGTAATCTTTCATTTATTGCTTATCATGAGTCATAGTCCTTGCTATCCTGAGAATTGTATGAAAAGCCTTAATGAATAGACTTATGGTGGTAATACCTCTCAGTTATTATATTTAAGCATTGTATTACAAAAAGCTAGAAGACACATAAATGTATTTTAAAGTTTGTAAACACCACTTTAGGTTCATTTATATAGAAAATATGTAATTATATATATATAGTAGAGAAGGACTAACAAAATCTTCTCCCCCTCTGCATGAAAATTTGAACTATGCTTAACCTTTCATCTCTGCTTCTCTGGAAATCTGATAAAGATAGCACGTAAGCCATGTCATTAAGCAGAAATGTTTATGGTCAGAAGGACCCCTGACTGGTAAACTGCGTTTCAATGGGGACAGTCTTACGCACCCGGTCGGCAGTCATCTTCGGGGTGTTGCTGAGTGCAGGGATTCTTGTAACTGGGCGTGTCCCTTGTGGGGACTCCGAAAACTATTCTGGAGTTGTTATGAGAGATACTGGCTCGTGTGGCTTTCAAGCCAGGGAGGCTCCTGTACCTGCCCAAAGTGGCTTCAGATACGTGTACTGAGCCATTTCCAGGGGCGGCCAGCAGCCGTGTGGGTGGCCGCAAGGACCCCAGAAAGCCCTGGTGCTGCCCTGTAACCTTCCAAGTAAATCTGGTGCCCAGAGCAGTATCTGGTAGTCTTGTGTGCCGGGATGCAATCTCATTACAAGTACAAATATGTGTGTATGTACATAATTATATATATATGTTATATATCATTAACTATAATTACACATACAATATACATATTGTGTGTATATGTATATACGACGTGGGTAGGTATGTATGTGTATATATACACACATAGGTTGACTGATTGACTTTTTAATTCTATTTCAGCGACCATCGGACCTCCAGAAAACGTCTGGGTGACCCCAGAAGAAGGCTCCTTTAACATCAAGTTTTCTTCTCCCTTTGACGTCCCTGCCAGTGAAGCCTATTTTTTGTATTACGTCTATTACTGGGAAAAGGGCGGAATCCAACAGGCAAGACCATTATTCTTCTTTGTTTTGAGTTTCTTTTCTTTGGAGTTTCTGTATAGCAAAAGAAGGTCCCCTTTAAAACGGCCAAGGAAAATAAGGCATCCCGGTATCCCCTGAAAGGCCGAGGCTTAGCGGGCAGACCCTCCTCTTCAGGACCCCTGCTTCTGCTCACCGTGTGGAGACTCCTCTCCCGCCAGACCCGCCTGCAGGGCCCTCTCCGCCTGGTGTCACACGGTCCCCACTGTCTGCACCTGGACTCAGCTGGAGTCCCTGGTGCTTTTGCCACACTCCGGAGTTTGGGGAGGTTCTGTGGGCCTGTTTCTACAGCAAGGAATCTGCTACTGCAGCCTGCAAGATTTAACTATATAAAGCCTCTGGTTTGAACAGTTTGCAAAGAGTGTGATGTGAATAGGTGACAAGTTCAGTTACTGGAAGGAGAGAGAGCGTTCTAGGGAGAAGGACCAGTAGGTTCGAGAAGGCACCGCACATTTGGGGAGCTGCAAGTGCTTGGATCCATCAGAAATGCAGGCCGTGTGCGGGCCTGGGGCGGGCACTGGGTTGACCGAGGTGGGTCAGACCCGAGGGGCCCGGTCAGCCCTGGGTGGCACAAGAGAAAAAGGATGGCGTTTAATCACCTCCAGTGTCTGATAAGCCAAACTGCATTTAATGATGTTTTATTATCTATGTAAACTTCATGATTTCTTACGTCCCACGTTATTATAATTTTTTATAATATAAGAGCTTATGTTTATCCAGAGCTTTCTTTGTATCTGGCCCTGGGCCAGGCACTTGAGATACATTTAATCTCATTTAATCTTGACACCACCCTGTGTCACAGGGAGGGAAACTGAGTGGTTACGTGACTTGCCCAAGGGCGGCAGCCGCCAGCTAGCGGAGCGGAGGGGACATCGACCCTCATGCTCTTAACTGATGCTCTTCTCCAACATAGTCCACATTTGCACGTCGTTTCTTTGTGGTGACTGAAAACACGGAGAAGGCAAAAGTCACTGAAGAACAGACTCCCAGCATACGGGGATGAAGGAAAGACTCATTTTCTGAAATCGGAGGTCAAGGTCTGGTCCACTGGGATAGAGAAGGCCTGGAAGAATCCAGAAGGGATTCCTCTTTCTGCTTTTCAGCCAGAGCGTCTATACTTTGGACTTTTGTGAGCAAAAGATTCTGGGGCCAAAGCGACCGTGAAAGCCACCGACCAGTATGCTTTCCATTGCAGCTGTGAGCCTGCATGTCAGGGTCCCCAAGACCAACCCCTAGGTTTGCTTGAAGGACGCACGAGACTCAGCACCTAGTTGTCCTTGAGGCTGTGATTTATTACAGAGAAAGGACACAAGGCAGAGTCTAAAGGAATCTAGGCATTATCTAGGCATTTGCTTCCCGGAGCCATCCCTGGTCCCCCAGGACACACTTAATTCCCCCAGCAAGAAGCTTGACAGCGTGTGAAATGTTGTCAACCAGGGGAGCTCCTTAGAGACTCAGCGCCTGGGACTTGTACTGGGGGTGGTCACATAGGCACCCTCTGCCTAGTCTATACACCCAAACTCCAGGCTCCCAGCAGGAGAGCAAGTGTTCAGCACCAAAAGCATTGTTTATACACTAAATCTCCCTTATCCGGGAATGGTGAGGCCACTCCCCGAATCCAAGTTCCCAGATGCCAGCCGTGCGTCAGCCGCGCAACCAAGCCTTTCTCCGGACTGCAGTGTCAGGCCTAAATGTTAGCTCTTCTCTGCGGCCTGTGATTCTGAATTTTGGAAAGGCCAAGTGGCTGCTGAAATAAACTCATAAAGGAATGCCGTCCTTAAAATTGCTGGATGTGGCATCAGGAGCAACAATTTCTCTCCTCTGCCCTGGCGGTCATCAATATTAAACAGGAGGGGAAAAATTAAAAGTCATCTGTAATCCTGCTATTCGTGTACAACACGGTTATTTTGTATTTTTAAAAATAAGGTCATGTTCTATATACTGTTGAATAATCTGCCTTTTTTCAATCAACATATATATGCAGCTTCCTCTTTCCACAACACTGAGCGTGTGTTATGTCCCGCCATTCCAGATGGCTGTAGCCTGTCTGCTGTATCTCAGAATAAGAAAGCAGCCCTTTAAGGAGTCCTGTATTGCCATAATATGGTGTATCTTTTCCTTGTTTTCCTGTGGAGCAATGACAGCCTTGTCCAGGCCGGGAGTGAGGAGCCATTGACTGGAGGTGTGGAGGTGACAGGACCTGAGGGAGGGTAGAGGCTGGGAGGTGGAGAGGAGACAGACTCCTCTAAGAATTTGGGACCCAGCTCTTTCCTGATGACATGAATCACTAAGACCATTTCCATCTGCACTCTAAAAGGAACCAGCACTTTTCAGTGAAAGCCAGAAGCAGGTTGGGAACCAAAGGAACATTATTTCTTAGAATGACTGTTCTTCTGTTTCTTGATTAACTTCAAGTATCTAGATGAGATTCACCATGAGATACAAAATGTTAAGTTGAAAGGAGAAAGCTTCATCCTCGCAACTGAAATTTGCACAGTTTTAGCTTCGGACCCTCCGTTGCCGTGATGAGTCTTTGGTGGGACCCCCGAGGCCTCAGCCAGAAACACAGCCCTGAAGACATCAGCCTCTTTTTATTTTTTTTTAATTGAAGTATAGTCGGTTTACGATGTTGTGTTAATGTCTGGTGTACAGCATAGTGACTCAGTGATACATATGTACATATATATTCCTGTTCATATTCTTTTTCACTATAGGCTGTTACAAGGTATTGAATATAATTCCCTGTGCTGTGTATGTCAGCATCTTGATACTATTCATCAGTTTTCATTTATGAAATTTGTCTACTGTAAGCATGTAGAATGTGTATTCTGTTTCTTTAACAACAGAATTATCTTATTCTTTGGTTATTGTGTTCAGTGTGAATTTGAGGAAACATTGGAAAAGATGGGAGGGGCTTGATCATGTCCATGTGGGTAATTTTCACATATGGTTGTTGGTGTTTTTTATGTAGGTTACACGCCCTTACAGGAGCAACTTCATCACGTTGAATAATTTAAAACCCTTAAGAGCATACTGTTTTCAAGTCAAGGCAGAACTGTTTTGGATAAGCGGGAAAATCTCGAGACCTGGGCATTTAAGCGACATATCTTGCTCCGAGACAACAGCAGGCGGTAACATACGCTTTCTGAAGTCCTTTCTGAGCTGGGAAAAGATTACTCCTAAAATTGTGAAATCAGTGGTTGCTAATTAGGTGAAGGGCGGTGAGCGTGGGGAGACCCAGAGAGAAGGGGCTGAGCAGACAGCACTGAACTGTAGGCATAATGAGCTCATGTTGAAGTCTCTAGGAGGGAGAGCTGCCAGACAGCTAACGCTTTGTTTTAGCATTGCCTTTCCTAGCTATTAATTGAAGCACACGAGGCTGGGTGGAATCGGGGCAGTACCCGTCCATTTCGCTGGGACATGAACTCCATGTATCACAGCGGCGGATGAGAAATTACCGTGTTTGTGTTATGTGTGGGATGCTCATCTTGTTCACTTTATTGTGTCTCTTTAGCCTCTGCCAAGCTTCAGCAAGTCATCCTGATTGCCGTGGGAACCTTTTTGTTGCTGTCGGTGGTGGTAGGGACCTGTCTCTTCCTGGTCCGGAAATACAGAGGCTTGGTTAAATACTGGTTTCAGTCTCCGCCAAGGATCCCAGCACAATTAGAAGAGGTATGTGTGCACACACGGAAAAGGGGGATGTGTCAGCCCTCCACGCCTCCTGGTACCACATGGGAGTACAGCCGCAGGCAAAGCCAAGGGCACAGAGATTTGCATTAAAAGTGGTTCTTGGTTACTTGTGCACCCATGTTCTTAGCAGCACTATTCACAATAGCCAAAAGGTAGCTGCAACCCAAGTGCTCCATCGATGGATGAATGGATCAAGAAAATGTGGTGGACGTATGAATGGAATATTACTCAGCCTTAAAAAGGAAGGGGATTCTGACACATGCCACAACATGGATGAACCTTGAGGACAGTATAATAAGGAAAACTAGTCACAAAAAGACAAATGCTACATGATTCCATTTAAATGAGGTACTTAGAGTACTTATCTTCATAGAAACAGAATGTGGAATAGTGATGGCCAGGGTCTAGAGGGAGGGAGGAAATGTGGAATTAGTGTTTATACTTTTTTTTTAAATTGACGTATAGTCGGTTTACAATTTTGTGCCAATGGAGTTAGTGTTTAATGGGGACAATTTCAGTTTTGCAAAATGAAAACAGTTCTAGAGACAGATGGTGGTGATGGTTGCCCAACACTGAAAATGTGCTTTACACTATTGAACTGTACATTTAAACATGGTTAAGATGGCAAATTTTATGCTATACATATTTTACCACAATTAAAAATTTTTTATTTTATTTTTTATTGAGGTATAGTTAATGTATGTGTTAATTTCTAGTGTACAGCACAGTGATTCAGTTACACATATATAGATACAGATATGGATGTCCTTTTCATATT